ATTCCTCCTCCTTCAAATGCAACAGATCTCACTAGTTTGTTAGCATCTTTCCTAACCGATTTCAAATCCCTAGTCACTCCACTCATATCACTCCTTACAAATCTCGTATCTCACCTCATCCCTCCTTTGAAAAATCCTTAATGACCCACATCCCAAAACCCATGTCCATTCTCCTTTGGAATGCGAATGGTGTTAGAAATCACGTTGACGAACTAACAGCTTTACTACAAGACAAGAACATTGACGTAGCCCTAATTACAGAAACTCGACTGACCATAAAACAGCATTTAAAAATCCCACAGTATTTAACATACCGTACTGACCACCCTGATGGCAGAGCACATGCCGGCACTGCTGTCATCGTACACCAATCCCTCTCCCATCACTTACTCCCATTACCTACTCAAGATTTCCTACAGTCAACCGCTATTGTAATCAAAGCCTTCTCCTTTCCAGTCACCCTTGCATCAGCATATTGCCCTCCTAACAGATCCATATCCAAAGTCCAGTTCAGTTCTCTCCTCAACTCCTTAGGTCATCATTTCATCCTGGGTGCAGACTTAAATGCCAAGCATCAAGTTTGGGGTTCAAGAACCACGAATTCTCGTGGCAGAACATTTCTGTCTGCACTCAATACCCAACGTTTCAGTCTCCTTCCACCCAACTCACCTACCTACTGGCCCACAGATCCTAACCGCAATCCCGATATCCTTGATTTTTTCATCCACAGTGGCTTAGGTCCCCTCAATCATTCCCTTACCCCTCTTGCCGAACTATCCTCAGATCATAGTCCATTATTACTCCAATTATCTCTAGCTCCTATTCCTAAGTCTTCTCCACCGTCCTTCATCAGAGGCCCAGTTAACTGGAAACTCTTTCACCAAATCCTTACCGATAAAATTGACCTCAGAATGACCCTGAAAACCCCAGATGACCTTGACAATACCGTACACTTTTTTACCACCACTATCCAACAAGCAATCTGGACTGCTTCCTCTCCAAACCACTCCTCAAGAACTCCTAAGAAAAATAAGTTACCTCAACACCTCATAGACCTAATCCATACCAAACGCCGTGCCAGATTATTATGGCAACGTACTAGACACCCCACCGATCGCCAATCCTATAATTATTTTTGCAAAAAACTAAAGATAGAATTGGCCACCTTCAGATCCCAATCCTTCAACTCCTACCTCACTTCCCTCTCTTCTCATGACAATTCCCTATGGAAGACCACCAAACATATCCTAAAACCCCATCATATATCACATCCTCTCCGTCGAGGTGATGGCTCTTGGGCAGCATCTGACGAAGATAGAGCCGAAGAATTCGCCAAACACCTTTCCCTTACATTCACCTCTCATCCAGAATCCAATCCCACCCACACGTCAGCAGTAGAGGAATTCCTTAATTCACCCATCCCACTCTCCTTACCGCCTAAAGCAGTTAATCCTTCTGAGGTCAAATTCCTCTTACAAAAACTACCTACCCGTAAATCACCTGGATACGACCTCCTTACCTCTCAGATCCTTAGACAACTCCCTCCTAAAGCTGTCATATTCCTTACATACATATACAATAGCATCCTACGAACCACCCACTTTCCTCTTTTGTGGAAACATTCCACTATTATCCTGTTTCCGAAACCAGGCAAACCTCCCAACACCTCAACGTCCTACAGACCAATTAGCCTTCTTCCGATTCTCTCAAAAATCTTTGAAAAGATCCTCCTGAAACGCATCCTACCCTTTATAGAATCCCAAACTCTTCCTTCCCATCAGTTCGGATTTCGTTCACAACACTCTACAGTCCAACAAGGACTCCGAGTGGTTGACCATATTTCCGCAGCATTGGAAAGCAAGCAATATTGCTCGGGTGCATTTCTGGACATAGCTCAAGCTTTCGACCGGGTATGGCACGCCGGGCTTCTTTCCAAGCTGAAAAACTATCTTCCTCAGTCCTTGTACCTTGTTCTCCGTTCCTACCTCTCAGATCGTACCTTCCGAGTTCGTTGCGGTACTGAATTTTCGCATTGCTATCCAATTGAGGCAGGTGTTCCTCAAGGTAGCGTATTGGGTCCCGTCCTTTACATCCTCTTTACCGCCGATATCCCTGTCCATCCCGATACCTTCCTGGCAACTTTTGCTGATGACACCGCCATTCTATCATCCGACTCAGATCCCAACATAGCATCCTTAAATCTCCAAAACCACCTCACCTTGATTGAGCACTGGTGTAATAACTGGCGCATTAAAGTTAATGAATCTAAATGCCAACATATTACCTTTACACTCCGACGCAGTTCCTGTCCACCAGTACACTTTAATTCCATCCAGCTTCCTTACTCAGACACAGTCCGGTATCTTGGCTTTCATTTAGACCGAAGACTAACGTGGAACCCACATACTAGACTCAAAAGACAAGAACTCAACCGACGATACGGCCAGCTATACAGACTACTAAACAGAAAATCCAAACTTTCTATTGAAAACAAATTACTTATCTACAAGACAATACTGAAACCTATATGGACATACGGACTTGAACTGTGGGGGACAGCAAAAGCTTCTAACATCAAACGTATTCAATCCTTTCAATCTAAAGTCCTTCGAACAATAGTTGATGCTCCGTTCTATGTAAATAACAAAATCCTACACCATGACCTTAATATCCCATTTGTCCTAGACCTTATTCCAGAAAAATTCTCCAAATTTCACCAGAACCTTACCTATCATCCAAATCCCCTTGCACAATCTCTATCCAGCACCACCCATCCTTACAATCCTCCTCGAAGGTTGAAGCGGCAGTGGCCCAGAGACCTTTTGTAAATAAGCATCTATTGGAGTTTTGGCCATGGCCAGATCCTCCACTCAAGCCCGAGTGTGTATGATTAGGTTAGTTCTTTTGTTTATATACATTTATTTTATTTTATTGTATTTATTTTTATTTTATTTTATTGTATTTATTATTATTAAGTTTCTGTATTTTTTTTTTATTGTAAATAGAGTGTGAGTGTGCTTTCTCTGAACACTATTATAAATGTCCTTGATGTGACAGAATGTAATATTTCTAAATAAACAAATATAAAAAAAAAAAAAAAAAAAGTAGTAAGGCTGTTAGTTCGTCTGTGTGATTTTTAACACCATTCGCATTCCAAAGGAGAATGGGTATGGGATATGGTTTTTTTAAAGGAGGAATGAAGTGAGACACTAGGTTTGTAAGGAGTGATACCAGGGTGAAACAGGGAATTTAAATTAAGTAAGAAAGATGTCAATAAATTAGTTAGATCTGTGACATTAGACGGTGGAGCAATAGGTGGGGTTTTATATTGTTGATTTATAGATACATTTTGTGGGATAGGATATTGTGGGGGTGGAGTTTGTTCTTGCAGTTTCACATTCATTATTCTACCCCCAAATATCTTAGGAAAAGAAACCTGAGAGTCCACAATTTTAGCATGTCCTCTTCTTTGTTTAGGTTTTTCATCTAGGTACCTGTGTTTCATATATTTTGCTTTAAGATATTGATTAATTTGTCAACCTTCCAGGCATAGGTCACTGGTTTTATTTTATTTTTTTCTTGTTGCACCTGGCAGACTTCATACTTGGTTTGGTTCACCGCATTTCACACAGCGTTGTAGGTGGTGTAATAAGACTTGGCGTGGCCATGTATCTGACAATTGTGGCCCTGGACGATTTCTCTGTTTGTTGTTTATGGTTTTTCGACATTAACGATAGTTTAGAAAATTCTATTCACTTCATATATTTGTTTTCAATCTCTGGTGATAGCTTTAGATCGACGAAAAATGAGGGCAGTGGAATTTTATTTTTTACCCCTGGCTATTTTTTGTTTTCTTTTAAAACATTGGTTATCTGGTATTTTGAACCGTATTGCATTTAGCTTTTCTTTGGTCACTACAGTTGGGGTTGAAGAGTGTAAATTTCTTGTTACCATTAGTAGAGCTCATTCCTGGCTCAACTGGTATGTGTGAAAATCCGCATTTGTTTTAGTTAAATATTTAGCTATTTTTCGGTAGGCTTCAGCTGTGGCCAGTATGTATTTTTTTTTTTTTTTTATCGTTAGTCCTGTTAATAGCTATCAGAACAGGTTTTATTTAGTTTAGTATACATCATCTCCAAATGTCTTTAAGTTTTGACAATGACAGGAGGTATGGTTCTCTGGGTATAGATGCTTCTTCCATCTCTTCTCTGTTATTTTGAAGCACCCGGTATTGATTGACTGCATAAAAGGGAGATTTAGAGGGCATTTCTTGTGAAAGTGTACCTGGCTGTGGTTGAACTGCAGATTGCATATAGCGACGATTTTTTTGTTTAAGCGTTGAACTAAGAGGGGTAGAGCCAACTGATCGGACCTCTTAGTAGAAATGACTTGGTGGAAATGTCGCATATGTAATAAATAAAACTACTTCTTCACCTTCGGTGAACCGTCGATCGTAGATCAAGCCAGCACTACTGGAGTGGAGAGCCTTATTGAGACGTCAGAACATATAGGTATAGAGATAACGTCTCTAGATGCTAATTTTACTGTATATAATAGTATACAGTAAATAGGGGGCTGGCAATCTGATCAAAGATATAATTTCATAAAATAAGTAGGAGTTTGCGACCCGGCACCGGGGGATTTTAACTTTGGCTTTAATCCCCTGCCCTTACGCCTTGACCTGGGAAAACCTGAGTATTGCCAAAAAATACAAGGAAGGAGAGAACAAAAAAAAACACAGTGAATATCAACACTACTCACTGTGGTATTAGTCCATTGTTGTTGCTGTTTAGATGTCAGCATGACTCGCTTTTAAGTAAAAACGAGCATTTATTCTACTAAAACAAAGAAGAACTGTGGGCTACGAGGTGAAATATGATCATTCAAGACTAGATGCCGATAATTGAACCCCCGTACAAAATAAAGAAATAAATTAGTTGGATAATTCAAATTCATAATTATATTTTTTAATGTATCTCAATTATTGGTACTTTTTTAAGGTGTGGCTGTGAAGAATGTATCACAGAATCTACAGAAGATTCACTGAAGCATTCAAGATCCCGTATAAATGAATATAAAGCTTTGGCTAGCCCATCACTTATAGCTTTGTCCTCATCTGATCCAATTCTTTCTACCTTCGAATTATCGTGGGATCTTAGGAATCTAGCATTTGCTGAACAGGAGAGCAAATCAGAATATTTGGTAAGACGAAAAAATAAATAAAACTTAGATAGAGTATTACATCACGTTTTAAATCTTAATTACACATAATATTCTTTATGATTTTTATTTTATTCTTAAAATTGAAACTCATATACATATAATATTAAAATTATGCATCAGCCAATATTTTCAGTAAAATTTATACATAATACTAATAAAACATGTGGAAAACAAAATGTGTGTGTGATAAGTAGTGTATGTAAATAAACAATGTAATGCTATAAAAGCCGATGTAGAAAGTAAATAAAGTCAATATTATCCAGACCAAGGAGGTGTTCACTTCGTGCCATAGTCTTCTTTTTTTTTTATCTTTTGGTCCCATGCGTATTTTAACTGGTGCTGAAACCAGGGAGAAGACAGAAAACAGGGAAAATTCTAAATTTTCAGAATTCAAGACTTCTGACCATGTAAGTTAGAAAGAGTTTTCAGTCTGTTTTCAGGGAGCGTCCATGACACCTGTAGAGGGAGAAAACGGACCATTGGAGCCAGAAATCCTTATAGAGCAACAGACTGTTGGGAACACCACCCCGGGGCTAGTACAGGGAGTCCAAAATGACGACCCTCAGAGTGTGCAGTTGGAGTAGGTAAAGGTGAAGAGAGCTACAACTACGTATTTGAAGAATTCAGTTTCTGAGCTAGACACCTCAATCACTTCCTGAAACAGGGAAATCATATTTATAACGTGGTGGAGGCAAGAATCGCAGCTGGATGTGTCGATTGCTTGGACGCCACAGAGCTTAGAGCATCCCTAGTGGGAAGATTCAGGTGAAATGTGATAAACGCCATACAAGCAGACGAGTTGACCGCATGGAATGAGGCCACTAGAAGATTTAAAAAGGCTTTATAGAGGAGGGCGCTGGACACCAGAGGAGGATGTCTACCACCTCTTCACTGAATCTAGGTCAGGGCAATCCGACTATAGCTTTGCAGAAACCATATTTAACCAATATACGACCATCTTTAAAAACTAGTAGAGACTGTAGGATAGGCAGAGGCGGCTCAGCAGTTAGTGATATATGGAAAAGTTCTAAAGACACATCTAGGTCGGAACTTGAGATTGAAGGAAAAGTTGGCCGCTAAAAAATCCTTCGTCGAATGCGTCCGAGACGTAATGGATAAGAGTGCTAGAGAGGAGGAAGAAGCAGATGGTCAACAATGGAGAGAGGTACCGTTCGGGAATAGAAGGAGCCATAGAGAACGATTTGACTTCAGACCTGAGCCACCTCAAAATTCAGGAGTTGAACATTGGAGAAGTTCAAGAAATGCTGAAGACAATCAGAGAGGTCTTGGGCCACGAGGAACCAGAAGAGAAGATAATCTTAGATATTACGAGTGCAATCGCTCGGAGCATATCGTTGCTAACTATCCTTCCGTTAAATGCTTCGAATTTGGGGGATAAGGACATGTAGCTAGAGCCTGCCCTTGGATCTACAAGTGAAGGTCACCAGATAAGCCGATGGAGGTGAATACACTTAGAACAAGACAGCATAGGGATGTGTCAACTTCAAACTCTGTAGAATCTTCAGAAAAGAGCTTCACTGATGAAGAAGTTGACCAAAGAAGCAGGTGGGTGAAAATAGCTGATAGAGCGTGTGAACAGAGAAACAGAACATACTAATCCAAGAAGGCGGACGCAAAGAAGGGAACTACTATCTGAGGAGTTGAGGGCAGCCAATGCAAGCGAGAGCTAGTAAATGGTATATGTGGAGTGTGGGAGAGGTTGCCCATAGTGCTGGAGTGTGGCGATAAGATGAGAGCACAAACATCTTGATTAGCAGAGGGGGCTGGATGAAGTGATCAAGGAATGTAAATGGTCTGTTATCACTTTGAGTCGATACTCAATTGAGAGTATGAAAAATCAAGAATCAGTAAAAAGACTGTTCCAAAGCCGACTGATGGAGAAATTGAATCAAGAGAAAGGTCTGAATGATCAACTAAATTACGAAAATATAGTAAAGTTCCTGCATGCCGCAGCTTTAGAAGCTGTCGGAGAGGAAAGGAAAGAGGTTAGAGGAAAAAACAAGCCTTGGTGGAATGAGGATGCTGAAGTGGCTGTTCAAGAGAAAAAATATTTATACAATAAATGGTTGAGCTCTAAAAATGAGAAGGACCTGAGGGAATATAGAAATGCCTGTAAAAAAAAAAGTAAAAGCTATTAGAAGGAAGGCTTTAAATATCTATTGGGAGAAAACCTGCAAGTATGTGGACACTTACATTGATGGACAAAAGTCTAGTGCTGCTTGGAGGACATTAAAAAGATTGAAAAATCCCAAAAGATGTGGAGATAACTTCCCATTGATCAAGGAGCAGCAATGGGTGAATCACTTTGAAGAATTATTTCATGAGGAGCGACCCGAATTCGCATGGAACCAATCCGATGAAATAATGCTAAATAAGGAAGATATACCGCCAGTCACAATCATAGAACTGGATTCAGTCCTCAAAGGAATGAAAAATAGAAAATCTCCCGGCCCTGGTTCTATTCCAATTGAATTAATTAAAGCAGGCCCGACCGAACTCAAAATGGCACTGGCAGAAAGTATGACACTTCTGTTAAATGGTGGAGAGATTCCTGAAGAATGGAAACAGGGTTATATCACTCCAGTTTTCAAAAAAGGCCAAAAGAAAGATGTTTCCAACTACAGAGGTATTACTGTTACCAGCTCGCTGAGTAGATTATACGGCCGGATAATTAAAAGCAGAATTGAAAATGATTTAAAGGAAGAGATCAGCGAGGAACAGGCGGGTTTTCGAGCTGGAAGATCATGCACTGATCACATTTTTAGTCTCTCACAACTTATAGAAAAAAGGATGGCCCACAACCGTGAACTCCATATGATATTTGTAGATTTACACAAGGCCTATGATTCAGTACCTCTAGCGAAATTGTGGAAAGCTTTGGAAGCCACATCTATTAAGAGATACCTCATCAGAGCAATTCAAGAGCTCTATAAAAATATAACGGGGGCTATAAAAATTGGAGATAGAGTGTCTAGAAGCTTCTTCATTAACAAAGCATTAACAAACAGGGCTGCTGCCTTTCACCCCTGATTTTCAACATTTATATAGAACAAGCCCTTAAAAACTGGAAAAGATCGTGCTGTGGAATGGGTGTTCAAATCGGGAATGATGTCATCTACAATTTGCAGTATGCCGATGACCAAGTCATAATCGCATCGGATCCGGATGATGTTAGCTATATGATGAGGAAGTTGCTGGACACGTATTCCAGATGGGGTCTGAAAATCAGTGAAAGTAAAACAGAGTATATGGTTTTTAACGCTCCAAATTTGCCCCTTGAAATTGATGACTGGACGCTAAATGTCAGCCAACAGTTCAAGTACCTCGGATACTGGTTATCTTCAAAGGGTGGTAGTGAGGTTGATATCGTACATAAAATAAATAATGGGAAAAGAATAATAAGTTCGATAAATTCAACCCTATGGAGGAAAGAACTAAGATTAGAAACTAAAAAAAAGATATACCATTCCTTTGTAGAAAGGGTAGCCACTTACGGATCAGAAGTCTGGACACTGACAAAAAAGATGGAAAATAAGTTGCTTTCCATGGAAATGGATTTCTGGAGAAGAAGCTGTGGCATATCCAGAATCGAGCGGATCCCAAACGCAGCAATTAGAGACAAGGTCGGATGTCAAAAGAACATCCTTCACCTGATCGGGACCAAACGGTTAAAATGGTATGGCCACTTAATGCGGATGGATGAGAACCGCTGGCCAAAGAAAATTTATAACTATATGCCACCTGAAAGAAGGAAGCGTGGAAGGCCAAAGAAGAAATGGATAGAGGACGTGGAGGAAAGCATGGCAGCCAGAGGGCTTCGTGAGGGAGATTGGATGGACAGGGAGCAGTGGCTTTTGGGTGTTGGGGATATGACTCCTTGAGTTGTATAAAACCCAAATAAAAAAAAAAAAAAATCACTTTGAGTAGCCCTTGTAGAGTGCTGGGGGAGTACACGTAGGACCTAGAAAATCTTAACGGAGTAAAAGTGAGTATGGCCGTGAATGTATTAGAATTATTAACTGATCAGTATGACGTGTTAGTAGGTGTCTAAGCGACGTCTTAGACAAAGTGGGTTTTAAGATGCATGGTAGTCATGGGAGTTGGGAGCTGACATTGGGAACAAAAATGTATCACGAAAAATTAAGAACAAACGGCAAGGAACATCACATAGAGGTGATTGAAAATGGGGAGTCAAGGGTTGAGACGTTACTTTCAGAATTGACGGATATATTTTATAAGGAATTTTATAAGGAAGGCTGTGCATTACCTGCGACTGGGAGAACAGAACACGAAATAATTTTAAAGTAGAATAAAAATTCGTACACGAAGCGCCGAAGATACACTCAGTCAATGATGGGAATAATTAGGAATCGAATAAGTTACCTCCTTCGTCATGGGATTATAAGACACAGTACCTCACCTACCTAAAACTTAATTAAAAAATACTTTGCTAAATATCTTGAATTTTTTTTATTTAACGTTTGCAATTTAATACAGTGTTTTGTATATTTACTGATACTTAGAGGTAATTAAAATTTTTATATAATTCCCTTCGGAAATAAGTCATATTAACACTGTTTTATAAAATAAAATAATATATACCTAATCTGAACTATATATAATGAATAGTAAAACTCATATATCACAAATTAAAAAAATAATTTTTATTTCCTTTATTTTGTTGGACTATATCGTAAATAAATATGAAATTTTAATATTGAATGAATTATTCTCTCTGCACAAAGAAAGATAGAAAGGGTGACGCTATAAGGTCTTCTATAAACCAGAACTGATTGTTTGGATTTGGTCTCAAAATTAGGAAAAACGCGAAATTGAACCCGAAAATTGGAAAAATACATTAAGCGAACGAGAAAGGAAGTGCCAAAACCTCGGAAAAGATAGAAAGGACTAGTATCCATTATATAGCTAAATGAATGTATAGACAGGGAGCAGTGGCT